TGCGTTAAAATGTAAAATCTTTTGACAACCAACTGCTATGCCATACTCCTATCGGATTATCAATTTGTGTTGAATGTAGTCTGACGCCATGACCAATATTTATCAATTAAGTTTCGGTGGGGGGTAGGGGGGTTTGGAAAAAAACTAAAGGAATTAAGTTTTTTATCAGACATCGATCTTTTGACGTCGTCCCTAAAGACCATTGCTGTATTGTGCTTTTTGTCTATTTTTCACTTCCTTTACAAGATGTATTTTGCCATATTACAGTGTATCGTTTGCTGGTACAATGGGCAGCTGATTGTAATTTGTATAAAATAATAAAACTTCAAAAAACTCTATAGAATGTTGTTCATTCAAATTTATTGTGTGCTGTGAAACAGTTTGGACAACTTTGACTAAACAGATCACCAAGTCTACTGGTACACTGTATGTAGGTACCTTGGGTAAAGAAAATGACTAAAAATGGGAATTCAAGATCTATCTACGCAATGCATGTGCACTATCAAGTCATTTGCACAAATTTCCAAACTACCGATACTCAGTGGTTTTTGAAAAGTTGCCCAGACATTGTCGCACTTGGGGCTAAAGGTCTGCACAGATGTACATCACTGAAGTCATTATTATGATGTGGGGAATATTCGGCTTGTCAGAATTTACATAATATGGGGGGGGGGGGGGGGTCAGTTCAATTTATATGCACATATTCAACCTTACAAAAACAAGCCTGACTTGCAGGACTGATTGAGCCGACAAATACTTGTGGATAAATTTATTTCAATAAAATGTTTTCTTTTGCACATGTTAGAATTTCGTAAAATAAAAAACAAAACAATGATGCATGCCTATTTAAATTGTATCATGATTTCATTATCTTCGATGGACTTCTCGGGAACAAGAATTCATCTTGCATGCATCATATGTATAACAAAATCTGAAACAAATCATAAGTAGAGCATTATAGGCAGAACAGATAACAAACACAGCGCCCTCTGGCATGGAGTAGTGGAAATCTTTTCTTCAAAAGAAAATCTGAACAGGTTTTCAAACAAAATATTTACATTTCTGACCTGAAATGCCCAAGCTTACAGCAGCAGAAAAACTTGTACAAACTAATTTACAGCAGCTTACTAATACTATCACCATGATTGTTTTGGACAGCAGGTGTCGTCAGCTAAGTGACCAATTTTGCTATTGTTACACAACTGGAACAAACAAACCTAAACAGATGTTGAATATCAAAAGATGCAATTCTCATCTTGACAAGGTTATCCCCCAAAATTTTATCCAGTTGTTACACACTTGTAGAAGTGTTTTCATCTAACCAATTCTAATCTCAAGATTTAGGTGGCAATGTGCATGTCCAAAACAATATGGCGGTGACAGACATTCGCTGTTTGGTTTCCATTAGCTTGCTATCTAACCAGGCATGCTTGTTGCCACACCAATGCTGGAGCAAACCATATTGCAACAATACAATGCTAGCCATTAATTTAAAGAATAAATCTATTATGATTTTGTAAATGGCACATGGCTGAATGAATGACTTTCTTTCAAGTATTTCCAAATTATACATCTATAGATGGTTTGGGTGGTAGAATTCAAGTCTGATAAAACCACAGCCCATCCCGACAGTAAACATACATCACCAATAATTTTATTTTGGGTTGGACATATATCCCAGAGTCTTTGTACTTTAGATTTATCCTAGATTTGTTCCACCATACTGTAGGTGCAACTTACTGAATATATCCAATTTTTCTGTTTTTAAATGTCTGCAGGCCACGGGGTCTGGTATGCATTTGAAGTGATTTAGAACATATACATCCAGACACGAGAAAGCCTACAATTTACTATCCCTGCATTTATAATTACAAGAAGGCTATGAATAAGCACAACTAGTGAGTGTCTGCAAACAGGGTGTCGTCTGTGGTACAAGGGAAACAGACAATTCCTAAAAACGTGTTGCACTGAATAATGGAAAGTACACTGAGATTATCCCAATATACGGTATGCACATGCAGCCACCAATGAGGCATGCCGACTACTGTAAAATACCTTATTTTAGCTGGAATTAATTTTTGCTGAAAAGACTTTTTGGGTGTTTTGTGTGATATTTATTTTCACTTATTTTTGGCGAGTTAAATGTAAAATATAGGAAAGAGGGTATATTCGCTGGATTTTATTTTACCTGAATCATTCCTTCAGCAAAAATCAATTCCAAGCAAAAGAAAAAAAAAAGTATTTTACAGTAAATATTAAACTTCATGCATAAACATACATTCAGATTCTGGAGGTAACTTGGAATTTTGTCAAATATGCGTCAACATTATTCACTGTGTTCACCATAGTATAGTAATTACATTTCAATCTATTGAAAACATGTGCAATACTTATAAACACTTGTCCACCTACCAGTTAATGCTATACATATATTCCAACCCACAGACAGAGAAACAACACTCCAAATCCCATAAATAAACTGGCAACCAATGATATGAGCAATTCTTTATATAAATCACGTGTAAACTTTGTCGATGTCACTTCATAGCTGAGACAAGAATTAAGGATTTCTTTTTTAAATTATTTATGCATTAATTTACAATTAATACCGACATTAGACTTCTGTTAATTATCCACTGCATGGGAAAAGCTGAAAAAGACTACCGAGAACATCAGAGCATTTATGATGGTCTACTCAAAAACATGTACAGTTTAGCAAGTCAGTCATATGGTAGTAACCAAGTACAAGCATTGTAACACACAAAGCATAGAACTTAAAAAAACGTGTATTATAAATAAAAAGTTCATGCTTGTACTACTCTATATTATCAGTGCGCCACAGCTTCCAAAATTCTAAACTATTATGTGTACTATCCCAGCCATGTGTTATCAAAGGTGTACAAATATAAGGGCAGACAGGTTGAATGATATGCAATGAAAATCTTGCATGTACTTCACATCAATATTCTATATGACAACAATTCTTGTAATACTGCAAGTCATTAAGATGAGGTAATCAAAGTGGCTTTTGTGAAAATTTGTCCAGTGAATATTCTTGAATCATTAGACCACAAACATTAATAAAAGCAGTAATATAACAGATTACATTATGCTTATGCCATATTTTTTAAATGTCTGCAGGCCACGGGGTCTGGTATGCATTTTAAGTGATTTAGAACATTTACATCCAGACACGAGAAAGCCTACAATTTACTATCCCTGCATTTATAAATACAAGTAGGCTATGAATAAGCACAACTTGTGAGTGTCTGCAAACAGGGTGATGATTTATATCGTAATATTTCCTGTCTAAAGTATGGTGAATCAAATGAATTCATGGCCCATGAAATAGTGTTACAAATACCCCAATGACTGTTCTCCCCACTCCTTTAAGCATGGCTGTTTCACCAATGAAATGTCATTCTCAAACTTTCTCAAAGAGGTTAATTATTTCTATTGTATACTATGCAAATTAATGGCAACTATACTCGCACATTACCTGGGAAGAACACTGAATGACTTTCAAAATTTTGCTTGCCAAGATTGTTTATTATGCATGGCTATTCAGTATATTTTACT